CATAAGAACCTGATACACACTCTGATCCCAGGTGGAGGAAAGAGGGTCAGTGGGGCTTGCTTGCCAGCCACTCTAGCCAGTCCCTGAGTTCCAGGTTGAGGGAGAGACCCTGTCTAAAGAAATCAGATGAGGGGCTAGAGAGATGGCTCAGAGGTTAACAGCACTGACTGCTCTTCCAGACGTCCTGAGTTCAATTCCCAGCAACCACATGGTGGCTCACAACCATCTGTAATGAGACCTGGTGCCCTCTTACAGCCTGCAGGCATACATGCAGGCAGAACATTGTGTACATAATACATAAAATAAAATCTTAAAAAAAAAAGAAATCAGATGAGAGCAATGCTGGAAACATCAGTGTTGACCTCTGACCTCTACATTCACCTGCCTCTGCAAATATATACACAAACATGTAGACACAACTAGAGTGAAAAAAATGCTTCTTCTTCTGTTTCTATTCCACATAATTCTCAGCTGTCATTCCCAAGCTCTGTAACACTAGCCCCTTTCTGACCTGTCACCAGTAGTTGGATGTGGAGTTCTCTGGTAGTTCAGTCTGAAGGGTTCCGGGGGCCAGGGTGGGGCTTTACTCTGGTGCATCCCAGTTTTTCAAGTCCCCCACTGAAAAAGAATTTCAGGATGATGCAGAGTGAAGCAAATTTATTGAGGCTGTGTTCTCTCAATCAACAAATAAAGCAGAATACATGATAACAATTAATAAAGGAGAAGAGACAAGACACACTCGAAGAGAGTTTCCTTAAGAGGCTAAAGGCATCAGCAGTGGCTGTGTGTGACCTGGGGCTGGAAATCAACATGCTCTGTGACTGAGCTGGGAGATGGGGTGTGGTACTGCCGGTGCAATTTAGTTTTCTGATCCATAAAATTATGACTTCGAAGAAGAAACTTTGCTGGTGCAGTGCACAAGCTTGAAGGTAGAGGAGGGAGGGCTTGAAATGAACCATTAGTCACAGGGCCAAAGGAGGTCCCATTTAAGGCGCAGATCATTAGCCACATTAAACAATCGGGAGGGCTGTTTCTCAGAACTTGGAGTTAATATGCAAATTCAGAAAGGTTGGTACACAATTACTATGTGGCTGTACAAGTGCTAGAGCTGCACATGTGTGCTTAAACATACAGTGTTTAATGCTTATAATCACTCAAGCAAATATCTTGGTAAAAATATGACCCAATAGGTTGGATTCTTATTTGTTAAGAACCCCAAAAATGCTAATTAAAAGTATCAGAGATCCTAAGGGAGAGAAATGCAGTGGTCATGGTAGTAGATTGGAGAAGCCCACATAGTAAAGGTGTTACTTGTGTCCAAATTGAAATTCAGGAGTACTTTCAAATTCTCTGAAAGCCTTATTTTAGAGTCTGTGAATACTATTGTAAAATTTAGGCGAAAGGCCATTTTTGGAAGAAGGAGGAGGAGAAGGAAGAAGAATTGTTTCACCCAATTCCATTGTTTATTTGTCATTAACTGTGGTGCTGACAGACATGTAAACACAAAGATAGATGAACCAGAATAGGGAGTTTGGTAAGCCATGCATACAGGTGTGCTCAGCTGACTTGTGGCAATGACAGAAGCAATTCAATGGAGTAAAGACAGCCCTTTTCAAATGTTGGTGAAGCAGTTCCATGTTCATGAGCCAGGAGGAAATAAAAGTGTAATATTTACAAAACAAAATAAGGAACCTCAACCTAAGTCTCACACCATAGACAAAAATTAACTCAAGATAGATCCCAGTCTTAACCAGAACACAAACAACAAACAAACAAACAAACAAACCAACAAACAAGAGAGAGTTTCACCCTTGTGGGTCTAGGAAACACTTCTTTGATTGGCATTCAAAGAGCAGTCCATAAAAGGAAGAGCAGATAAACTAAACTTTATGAAAATTAGCAATCTCTTCTCTGTGACAGAGCCCACAAGGAGGACAAAGAGAAAATCTTAAGGATGGGACATGGAGGACCAGTGTGTCATGTGCTTAAAGAACCATGCACACACAAAGGCAAAGCACAGTCCAATTAGAAAATGGATGTGAGCATCATGTCCATGATGAGGGGTTCCAGATGGCAAACACACAAGGTTATCGGCAGTAACAGCCTCCGGTGAAGAAGAAATGAGCCTGAAGATGCCTAATGGTCCAACCACTGTGGAAAATATGTCAGCAGTTTATTAGCAGAACTTGCAGTTAATTGTCTAGCTCAGCGCTTATATTTTTAGATTTTTCCCCTGAGGAAATGGAAACTTGGGTTTACACTGTAACCTGGCATGATTTTGTCTATAGTCCCATTTAACAATACCCTTGAAATAAGACCCCGAATGTCTTCAGCAAATGACCTTCAATGTTCCATAGAATTCTGCTCAGAAATGTATAGACATTGCCTTGGCAATTCCCAGAATCTAGATGACTCTGGAGCATGTAATGATGGGAAAAGTTGCCCCCGAGGGTTCGTATGCAGCCTGACGTTAAATTAAGAATAGGAGAAACAAAACAGAAACTCACTGCTGCTAGAGTTTGTATCCCTACACTGAATGATTTCACTGTGCAGAATACTACAGGGAGACCGTTTCAACAGCACCAGCAGGGGGCAGCAGTAATCTCAGTGGCTCAGTGTGCTTGGATTTGGTCTCCACTTGAAGCCCCTAAGAAATCTACTAGGAAGTAGTGCTGAGTGTAAATAGATGATGTCTTGAGATTCTTATGAGACTCAAAATGGTATGCAAATATGTGGCTCATTTTCATGGTGTACCATTTGTTGCCAGCATCATCATGGATACTAGATTATAATTAGAAAACTCTGAAAATGGCATCTATTTGCTCCAATAAGGCCATAAACTGTCCTAGTTTCCTTTCTGTTGCTGTGATAAAACACCAACCAGCAGCAGTTTAGAGGAGGAATGGGATTTTTTGGCTTACACTTCCAAATTACAGTTCATCATTGATCAAAGTCATGGCGGGAACTCACAGGTGGAAACTATGGAGGAACACTGCTTGCGCAATCGTGTTCATCTTATACAGTTTAGGAAAACCTGGTCAGGGAATGGTGCCACCCATAATGGTGTGGGTCTTTCTTCATAACTGAAAAATTAGACAGCCCTCTCTCCTCAACATGCCCACAAGCCATTGTTGTCTACCCAGTCCCTCCACTGAGACTCCCTACTCAGCTGGCTCTAGGCTGTGTCAAGTCAACAGTTAAAGCTAATTAGGGCAGACTCCCAGAAGGCAACCCTCATGCTAGAAATTATGCCAGAGAGAAGGAAAAATTTACTACTGTATCAGGAAGATTGTATAATTTGTGAAGTCTGAGCTCTGATGCCAGGAAAAAAAAGGTCACAGAAAGGCAGGAAGATGAAGAGACCGTAGGAGTCCTAGGCGGACAAGACATGCATTATGTACCAGCAAACAGGCTACAGGGCAGGCAGATGCTGCCAGACATCCAGGCAAATGCTAGCGCATGTAAATGTGTAAGAACTTTTGCAGGCACATACACACACATACTAGCACACAGACCTACACAAGGTCTGGCAAAGGCAAAAGGTGACTTGTCGATGACCTCAAGGCCATATTTATAGACTCATACAAAGGTGACAATTTGCCACAAATGGTTATATAACAGATTATGTTATTGCTTGCTTTGCGGCTTATTGAGCATTCAATGTCAGTCAGTTTTTGCTGACTAGTAGCTGCCTTATATCTTGGATTAGCCATCTTGGCCGAGGCCTGGAATCCATGTCAGTGCCATGATGTCTAAACATAAACAGGCCTTCTGTTTCCTTTGGCTTTGTATACTTCTCTTGAGCAGTATGGAGCTGTATGTGGCTTCTAAGCTTCTTGATATCTTGAATATAAGGTTTCAAAGTCACTATGGCCATTTTTATATACATATATATTCTAATTGTTTATTATTTTCTAGTAACCAAGAAAGGAAGCTAGAATAGGCATCTTACTATGCACATTTTAGGACAGAATGAATTGGGATTCATATAATTTAAATGTGACCCATGGAATTTCTGGCAAGTACTAGATGTAACCATATTTTTAAATCTGGGCCATTACTTCATCACTGGTATTCTTTTATTTTATTCCTGTGTGTGTGTGTGTGTGTGTGTGTGTGTGTGTGTGTGTGTGTGTGTGTGTGTGTGCATTCACACTCATACATGTAACACAAATAATAAAAACCCAGAGATAGATATTGGAGTTCAAGCTTCAAGCTGAAGATCAGAGAAGCAAAGCAGTCAGCCACTAGCTCTTACCTCTACCTCAGACCAAAATGGCAATCCTGTCTCCACAAACCCTCAGAGGAAAATGCAGATTGCACTGTTCTCCACCAAGCCCCAGACTGCAATCCTATGCCTTCCCTGTCTGAAAACTAAATCTCACATGAGACCTTTGTTTCTTCCTTTTATACCTCTCAAATCCTGGAGAGGTATTTGAGAGGTATGAGCTCTGATTCACTCTTGTGTAGCCCTGGATGGTCTTGGACTCACAGAGATCTGTCGACTTCTGCCTCCCAAGTGCTGGGTTTAAAGGTGTCTGATCCCAAGTGCTGAGATCACCTTTGTGTGAGCTGTTTCTCTTTTAGACTGGATCAATTTTGTGTAGCTCAGTGTGTCTCTGTCTCAGGAGTCCTGGGATTAAATGTGTGTATCGCCACTGCCAGGCTCTGTGACTGCAGCTAGCTTTGCGTTTTGATCTCTAGTGGCTTTATTAAATTGTAAACAATATATCACCATACATACATCTGTACATATGTGTGTAGGTGCCTGTGGAGGCCAGACGAAGGCATCAGATCCTCTGGAGCTATAGATGCCTGTTGAACTGCCCAGCATGGGTGCTTGAAGCTGAATTCAGATCCTCTGCAAGGACAGTACACATTCTCAATCACTGAGCCATTGCTCTAGTCTCAGCATTGGTATTCTGGAGGAAAACTGTGTGATACATAATCCATGACTTAGAAATGCTTACTAATATATCTGTGTTTGTGTTTTATTCTAGTATGGACCAATATTTACCATCTTTGCTATGGGAAAACGAATGACCTTTGTTACTGAAGAAGAAGGAATTGATGTGTTTCTAAAATCTAAACATGTAGATTTTGAACTAGCTGTACAAAATCCTGTCTATCAAACAGGTAATCAATATTTTTAGATAGTTCCTTTAAAGTATAACATTGAAACCCAAGAGTAATTTTGAGTAAAATTATATCCTCAGTCCTCTGCCAAGAGTAATGAAGGGCAATTATTTTATTATTAAAGTAGGGTCAGAAGGAAGAAAATATGTAATATGTAATAGACTGGGTCATTGGGAAGGAAATATTGGCAGTCTGATACATTAGGTTTCATTTAGACATGTGAGTGAGATAGTCTTCTGTCACAGGTGCATTTTAGGGACTATTTGGAATCTCTGGTGTGTTACAGCACCTAGGTGAATACAGTGTTCTACAGGCTACAGCTCTTGGTTTGATTGTACTTTATTTCCCCACAGTAGTTTCCCTGCTTAATAAGCAAGCCATTATTATGGCCTCTCCTGAGAGTGCCCATGGGGGCAGTAAGGCTAATTGGAGTGAGTTCTCCTTTCTTACATCCTTCATCTGTCTTAGGCTGCTTGCTATTACCGGAGAATGTGTTCCTGCTGTGGCTGTGGCTGTGTCTACTTTTCTCCCTAAGTCTTGTGCCGAGGCCAGAATACCTGCCTGGATTTTTACCTAAGGTGTCTTTCTTCTGCCCCCCTTTCCTTCTTAGAATCCTTTAATGTACTCTGTTACACATTTCTTGGAATTAAGACAAAGATCTTTGAAAACCACTCAGTGGTTAAAATTTAGCCACATTTCTCTTGAAAGATCACAGTGTAATGGCTAAATTGACTGCTCACTAGTGTTTGTGATAAATAAGCTATGGAGTTTCTGATTGATGAATATGAATATTTTGAGGGCTATTGTTCTATATGCTAACATATTTCTTCAGTGAAAGGTACTAGCTTACCTGCTGCTGGCATATGGATATTATTGGAATGTTCACTGGGGCTCCCCTGTGACCTTTCATGTTTATTTCTACTGAACATATAAAATCTGTTAACATTTACTCTTCAGCAGCCTCTCACCCTTATCACACAGTCTGCTACCATGCTCAGGAGATCTGAGTTCCATTTAAATTTATACAAAATACAACTTGAACATAGCAGAATCATAAAATACAACTTGAACATAGCAGAATCATAAAATACAAGTTATTTCTTTAAGAGATTCTTTAAAGACTTTTAAAAGATACTTTGATTTGGTTAATCAAACTAGATAAACTAGATAAAAAAATTTAGAAAGTAGTCTCAAAAACTAAAACTCTTGACCCTACCCCAACCTAACCTAAGTTGATATTGTAGAAGGAAGATGAAGACTTCTATAAAGAAGAAGTGGGGTCAGAGTGACTCTGTTGGAAGAAATGGTCAAGAAGATATCTAGAAGGAGAACTTGGGGATATTAGTGTGTGTGTAGAAATGGGGGTTTGGGTGGCAGAGCGTTGAGTGTTCTAAGTATAAACAATAGCTTTCAGAATGCTGGGGAGTTCAGGATATTATGCATTTTCAATATAGCGCCAACATAGATCTGGAGGAGGAAGAAGGGGCTAGAAGTAGCATCCCTCTCACTCATTTATAGATCATCTGGCAAAACAGATCTACTGAGTTTCTGTGCTTCTGCGAGGACTTGGTCTGTAGTCCCTCCTGGGCCAATTTGTAGCAGAGGCATATAGATTATACACCACAAGGGATTGTTGCTCCTTTTTGAAAATAGTTCCCTCTGTCTTTAGCATGGATTCCAAAGAATGTCTTTTTAGCACTGCATGAGAAACTGTATGTCTTGATGAAGGGGAAGATGGGAACTTTCAGCATGCATCAGTTTACTGGGCAGCTGACTGAGGAATTTCATGAGCAACTGGAAGCTTTAGGCACCCATGGGACCATGGACCTGAACAACTTTGTAAGGTAAATAGTAATTGTTTTGATCCTCAAATAGAAACTTGAAACTAATACACTGGATTTCAAAATCCACCTGGTGGATTAATGTTCTCCACCTAACCAGGCCACTATGAAATTTTTTTAAAGTACTTAAATTCCAATTAATAGGCACTTTGTAGTTCAGCATCCTCACCTTATGTCAAGCAAATAAACCAACAGTCATTTGACAAATGAATAGTCATGAAGTCTCCACATGAAAAACTGAGTTGCCAAAGCTCTTTCTCACTTCAGTAGAACCACAGGATTATAAAGGCAGAGAGAGTGAACTAGAAGTGGAATGAGGATATCAGCTCTCAAAGCCCCACCACACAGTGATGTACCTCCCCCAGCAAGACTCCGCCACCTCCTAAAAACTCCACAACCTTCCCAAATAGTGCCACCAGATGAGACCAAGGGTTCAATACAGAAGCAAACAGGGGACAACCTCAATTCATCCATGCCACAACAGATAACGTGAACAGATATTTCAGTAGGCAATAGTGTGAATATGCAGACTTTTGTGAGAAATTAAGAAATGAATGATGACTCTTACCTCTTTTATTCCTAGTGTATTTGCTACCACAGGCAGAGACATGAGTGGTGTTGTAGTTGTTACTATTTTCTAAATAAATTCCCATTGAATGACATTCATTCAGCTAATTTCCCTTTATCGTTTCACATTTGCCTGGGTCTAAGGTGTTTCTTTAGAATGGATTTTTAAATCTTCAGGGCTGGGCAGAGGGCTCAGTAGTTAAGAGCACATATGCTCTTCCAAAGGACCCAAGTTTGGTTCCCTGCACATACATTACACAGCTCACCTGTGTGTAACTCCTATAACTCCAGTGCCTATAACTCCAGTGCCAGGGAAATCCGACTTACCTGATCTTCCAGGTACCTCTGTTCACCTCTCCACACAGATACACATTCGCAAACACATAATTAAAAACAAGGGCTTTGTTTTATTTTTTTGTTTTCAGGAGGAATATTTTGTTTTTGTTTTTGGGTTCTTAAAGACAGGATTTCTCTATAGCTTTGGAGCCTGACCTGGCACTCACTCTGTAGACCAGCCTGACCTCGAAAGGATGTTTTTTTTAGATCTTCAGATAAACATAGTCACATTCCAGTCACCCTAGAATGACAGCTTGACTTCCAGCAGCAAATGTTAAAACTTCACAAGAATGACTTTCCCCCAAAGCTATGCCCCGTTATCCACTGCTCATTTGTCATTTTTGAGAATTCTGGCCTTGTATCTAAAGCTTTTATTGGCTGCCTGGTTGACTTGCTGAGTGTCTCTGTCTTTGCAGGCATCTTTTTTATCCAGCCACAGTCAATACTCTCTTTAAGAAAGGGTTGTTTTTCACAAACGAGAGGAAAATCAAGGAGTTCTACCAACATTTTAAAACTTACGACGAGGGTTTTGAGTATGGATCCCAGCTGCCGGAATGGCTCCTGAGGTAGGGTGGCCTTCTGTAATTGCTTCTTTGATTGGATTTCTTTTCAGCAACATATATCTGTATTCATATCTATATCTAATCTCCATCTGGCTCTCTCTTTGATACGTATATGCACAGGTGTGCGCCTGTATGAGTGTGGAGGATGATGACATCAGGTGACTTGCTTCATTCTGCACTGTAGGTTTTGAGATAAGACCAATCACCAACCCTAGAACTCACCATTTTGGCCAGATTTGCTGGTCATTGAGCCTCAGCATCCCCAATCTCTGCATGGGGTTGCAAGTGCATGCTGCCATGCTGGAGTGCATGCTGCCATCCTGGCTTTCATGGAGTGCTTGGTAATCTGTGCTTATGCAACAAGCAGGTTACCTTCTGAACCACCTTCCTAGCTCTCATTTCTCTTATTTATTTTATACTTTATTTTTATTTCATGCCAGTGTATGTATGTAAGATATATGTGCTCCTGTGTGGTGTGTAGTGCACTTGCCATAGCGAAGGTATGGCGGTGAGAGGAAAACTTTGGGTTTTGGTACTTGCTTCCCACCTTGTTTTACAAGGGTCTAAAACATCTCAGCATAATTCAGCTTAGCTGGCCAAGCTTCTAGGGATTCTGTTGTCTCCATCTCCCATCTCCCTGTGGGAGTGTAGGGATTGCACATGAATGCGACCATGACCAGCTTTTAGTAGGTTCTGGAGAATCAAACTCCTCTGGTCTTCAATACTGTGTGGCAAGTGCTTTATCCACTAAGTCATATACCCAGCCACATTTTTTTTCTCTTAAAGTAGAATAACATCAACTGAAGTGAAAAGAAGCTGTTTCTATGATTTTTTTTAAATGGTGGTGGGAGGGGGTGTGGTGTTCTCACTATGTAGCCCAAGCTGGTCCTGGAACTCATGGAGGCTGCTGGCACTGCAGGAGAGCACCAGTGCACTGTCCCACCAGGCTCTGAAACCTGCTTATTTTAGTGTGCACATGTGAAGAGAAGGAGAAACAAAACGAGATAGACTTCCTCCTTCCTTCTCTCTGTTCTTTCTTTCTTCCTTCTGGCCTTCCTCCCTCCCTTCCCTATCCCTTTATTCCTGAAAAACAGTGTGGAGGGGGAAGAAGAGAGAGTGGGAGGATGGGAGAGAGTGAGAGGGGCGGGGAGAGAAGATGGTATAGAGAATGTATCTGAGGCTCTTTACAAGCACAGTGTATCATTATTGGATTGATTCTGTTTGGATCCATGCTGAGTCAGCCCCCTACTCTGGAAGGTATAAGTGGGCATTTGTCACCATTGGCTCAGATAAACATTTGTAAAATGCAGTCAAAAGTAACTACAGTTTAAAAAGTTCATGGCAATTATTCTATGTTTTATCCATTTGGACAGTTGTAGGTGGCATGGATGGGTCACTTAGAAGCAAGAAAAATGTGTTTTCCATAGTTTGGAGGCTGTGACATCCAGGATGAGGGTACCAGCAGGATGGTTTCTGAGGAGGGCTTCCTTTTGATGGCAGACTTTCAACTTCTGACTGTGCCTTCAGAGTGGAAGAGGCAGAGGAGTACTTTGTGGTGTTTTATAAAGACACTGATGCCATCAGTAAAAGGTTCCCTCTGTCGTGTGATTATTGTCTTTAATACCCTGTTCCCTAATATGATCATGTCCAGGTTGAGAATTTCGGCATTTGCTTTTGCAGAGGACCGAGATCATTAGCAGTGGATGCTGGTAATGGTCAGGCAATGATAAAATGATGACAGCCGATGGACTTTGTTTAGCTGAACCAGCATCTGGCCTCTGTGCCAGACTAAGTCCTGACACTCTTAGGACGGCACAGTGAACATGAACCAGGCAATTGACACATGATTTCCTCCTTTGGTGGTATTCCAGTATGAACCACAATAGCTATTTACAAAGACACTAAAATTCGTTGTCTAGCTCCCTCAGTTTTACCTGTGAACTAATAATTCAGACGTGGACCTCTTTGGAAATTCTAACTGGAAACAGAGATGAAATTTGAGGAAATTATTCTACCTTCAGAAATATACTCTCCTTTTTAAAAATATATAATTTATTTATTTTATATGTACGTTGGTATTTTGTCTGCATGTGTGTCTGTGTGAGGAAGTCAGATCCCCTGGAACTGGAGTTATAGACAGCTGTGAGCTGCCATGTGGGTGCTGGGAATTGAATCTGAGTCCTCTGGAAGAGCATCCAGTGCTCCTTAACCACTGAGCCATCTCTCCAGACCCTTCATTCTCTCCTTTTATGTCACAACCTGTCACCCTAAACACATTTGCAAATCACTGCATATATGTATATATATCTTTTTTTTTAATGCAGAAACTGGTCAAAGTCTAAAAGATGGTTCCTAGCACTGTTTGAGAAAAATATTGAAGAAATAAAAGCTGACAAGTCTGTAGAAGGTCATTCTGGGGTAAGTATCCTCTTCACTAAGATATATGTCACTAACATGGTAATAAACAGTGATTATTACAAAACAGTTCATAGCCAGGAAATGTGTGTGATTGGATATAATTTTTGTACCAAGTGATACACTGGGCATGCTTGTATACATTATTTTAATATCATAGCCTCACAGCACCAAGGCATTCTATCCTATAGGACTACGAAATGGATGCTACAAATAACAAAATAAAATGAAACTCTTGTTTTTTTTTTAAGTTTATTCTCACACAGTTGGCTATGTCAAAGGGCAGAGTTATAGTTTAAAGGTCTTTTGCTTTATAGCATAATTCTTGAATTAGGCAACTTCCCATTCCATACAAAAAGTGAAATGTTTTCATTGGCTGAGTAGAACAGTTTGGTTTTATAGATTATGCTAGAGCAGGGTATTCAACCATTGGGTCATGACCATCAGAAAGCACATATTTCTGATGGTCCTAGGAACCCCCAGCCATAAATTTATTTTCGTTGCTACTTCTTTTTTTTCTCCATTTTTTATTTGAATTAGAAACAAGATTGTTTTACATGTCAATCCCAGTTCCCTCTCCCTTCCTCCTCCCCTGCCACTGAGATTTTACTACTGAGTAGTGTCTCCGTTCCTAAGACCATGTGTTTTCTGATGGTTGTGAACCACTGGGTAGAGACCTATGAAACTCAGAAATAAATAACAATAACAACAACAAACTCACCCTAAGAATGAGGACAGAACAAACAAACTATAACTGATGGTTAAAATTGGATTATTCTTGTTATATAAGGAATAAGGAATAAACTGGACTCAGTGTCATCTTTGTCATCACTGTGGACCTGATTGGGCAACATCAGCTCCCTGATTTCTAAGAAGGTTCCACAGGAACTTAGCTTCCATCAAATGATATGGGACTCCAGTTTGAGCAATGCCATATTGATTTTTTTCTTTTTTTCTTTTTTCTTTTTCTTTCTTTCTTTTTTTTTTTTTTTGTGGTTGATGGGTTGTACTCACCAGGTCAAGGTTACCTGATATGGCCTCCAGGAATGAAACAAAGCCAGTTGGAGGGTCCACAGCAAAACTTAAAGTTGTGGTAATTTTATTAAGAGCAATCAGACTTTTTATATCTCTATCAGAAACAGAATATAATGACAATTGCCAGGATCAATAGAGATGTAGCTGCCAGAACACAATGACGTTGGCAAGCTGTACAAGGTACACAAGATTAATGACTAAGACCAGTTGCCCTGCCAAGTTTCCATGCTTCCTGGACTTCCAAGAGAACCTACAGAGAGGCACAAGGCAGCTTGACTGCTTCACTGCCTGAGGGAGTGCGATAGTCTCTCAGGAACTGGAAAGCACACAGTGCCCTAGAAACCATTTTCACTAGTGGTTTCCAATGTCTGCAAGGAGCTGAACCAGTGTGAGTTAAAATATGAAGCTGGAGAAGCAGTTCCCATGTATTCTGGAGCCACGATTCTTTGAGTGTGGTCCACAGACTACCAGCATCCCCTGGGTGCCACTCACAAACTATGGGGTAGAGCCCAATGACAGCATCTTTCGAGGCAACCCTCAGGCTTCAAGTCAAGGTTCTCACCCCTGGCTGTGGGTAGAGTCAATTCTTGGAACGTTTAAGAGAAGTCAGACATGATTCCTGGGTCCTTCACCCTCAGAGTCTGGGTTCCATTTGGTCTGGGTTGCTAGGCTTCAAGTTTGGTCACCAGGTGTGTGACCTTACACACAGGACCTAACCTCTAGACCTCACTTTCCTCCTCACTTGCCTTGTAGAGCATGATGAGGTTAAGTTAGTTCATTTTTGTAGAGGGCTTAGACATAGTAAGGATGAGGTGAGAGCTTGCTTTGATCAACATTGAAAAACTCATCTCAAGAACAGGACAATGGCTCTGTTAGTAAGGTGCTTGCCTTGCAAAAACCAGGACCTGAGTTCTAGCCTCAGAACCTACATAAGAAAACTGGGCATGATGTCCTGTACTTACAGTCCCAGCACTGGTGAAGACAGGCAGGTCCTTGGAGCTCATTGGCCATACAGACTGTCCTAATCTCTCTCTAGGCCAATGCAAGACTTCGTATTAAAAAACAGGGCAGGAGGTGGCTCCTGATGAGTGACAACACCTGCCACTATCCTCTGACATCCATGTGCATTCACACACTCATGCATGCAAACACACACACACACACACACACACACACACACACACCTGCATACACATAAACATACACCCAGAGAACACACAGTCATTTAAAAACTGGCCTTGAAGATCTGCAATGCCAGCTAATCAGGAGGCTGGGGCTGGAGGTTAGTAAATTCAAGGTCTGCCTGGAGGCTGTCTCAAAATAAAAAGAGAAGGCTGTGAATGTGCTCAGTGATGGGGTGATTTCTTAGTATGCTGAGGCTCTGGTACCAAAAACAAACAAATAAAAAACCCCACTTCAAATATTTTAGCATTTAAAAGTGATATAGAAAGCTTCTGATTTTAGTTGTATATTAAGTATCACTAAGGATGCTACTTATCTCTAGAGAGGAAGGTAGCTTTAGGAAAAAAGGAATATGTAAATGATTCGTGTCTGCGATAGAGTGTCTTAGTTTCCAAATTGACACAATCTAGATTATCTGGAAAGAGAACTTTAATGAGGGATTTTATGGTGGGTGTGTCTCCAAGGGTGCACTGTGGGTGGCACCATTCCCTAACCAGAGGATCCTGAATTGTTTAAGAGTGGAGACAGCTGGCTCAGCACTAGCATTCACTCATCCATCCACTCTTCTTTATTCTTAACGATGGATGTGACTAACTGTTTCAAGCTATTGCTGCCTTGACTTGCCCAAAGTGGTGGACTGTAGTCTGGAACTATGAACTAAAATAGTTCTTTTCTTCCCTTTTTTGTAGGGGTATTTTATTTTTCTTTTTAATCACAGCTGTGGGAAACAAAACCAACATAGTATCTTTCTCCTTGTCCTATGTCCTTTCTGTTGCTGTGATAAACATGTTGATTAAAGGGACTCTGGGGAGGAAAGGGTTTATCTCATGATTCCAGGTCATAATCTATCATTGAAGGAAAACAGGGCAAGAACTCCAGGCAGGATGTTAGAGGCAGGAACCATGGAGCAATTGTGCTTGCTTAAGGCTCAGACTCATTCACAGGCATATGCTCCACTCACAGTGGGCTGGGCCTGCCTACAGTCAAGACTTGGAGAAGCTAGATGTGCTTTAGAGCAGCAGAAAATGAAATCCATAATCAAAATGGTCAATTCTGTGTTTCCATCATTCTGGATGTGATAGATAATGACATACCAGATAACATTCAGAAGGCAGTTACTATGTGCCAGTCATAGTTAACCTACCCCCGTCGTCGTCTCACAAAGTCCTTTCTTGTTTCTTGTAACAACTTTAATGCCAAGAAGACAATTGGTAGGGCTAATCAATCTGGAAAACTTGCATGCTTCATTAACAGCAAGTGGCACCAGCAACTCCATTTTCATCCTGCCTATGTGTGCATTTCTTTCATGCCCACTTTACTGTGCTTGCTTCCTCATGTGAATACTGAATATGAATGATAGTATCTGCTTCTTGGAGCCTTGGCTAATATACAAATTAGTGAAACACCTATAAAGACCTTAAAACTGCACTGTCCCAGACAAGCAGGGGATGGTTCATAGCTCCCATATTGTTTTCTTGTCATGGTACCAAATAGTTAAGATTAAAAACATATCTGAGTGTGTGCCCTCTGGTGGAGAAGCAACCTTGGGCAAAAGCAAACTGAGAAACCACTGGAATGAAGACAGCAAATTTCTTCAGTTATCTGGGGAACAGCCAGAGGAGGTAGGTGAGGCCCTGCTCTGAGTTGGTGCCATTTAAGTCAAAACATGTCTTCCCAGGAGCAAATTTGAGGCAAGCCCTCCTCTTCCGGAATATATCTCTAGTTCTCTTTTTTCCTTTTTATTTTGAGAAAGAATTTTACTAAGTTGCCAGAGATGGTCTCGAACTCACTTTGGAACCCAAACATCCTTTGAACTTGAAATTCTCCTTCCCAGCCCATGATTATAACCATGTACCACCAGGCCTTGCTACTTAATTTTCCTATGAGCAGAGGTTTGCTTGTGTTAAAAGGTTAACGTTTGGGTTGAGTATATAGCTCAGCTAGTAGAGTGCTTGTCTGCTCTGCGGAGGACCTGATTTCAGTCTCTAACATTGCATAATAGCAATAATAGTAACAGCTGGGTGTGGTGGTGCACGTCTTTAATACTGGTATTCGGAAGGTAGAGACAGGAAGATCTCTATGAGATAAAGGCCAGCCTCAGCTACATCGTGAGTTCCATATCAGCCAAGCCTACACACTGAGACCCTGTCTCAAAAACCAAACACAGTATTTATGAAAATACAAACATTACAAGTAACAAGCAATCCTCAGCAAACATCAAACCAAAACCAAAAACACTGTTGGTCTGGATGTGGCTCAGAAGAGTGCTGGTTTAGCACGGTAAGGCTCCAGGCTTATCCCCGCTACTGAATAAACCAGGTGTGGTGGTACATTCATGTAATCTCAGCTCTGAGGATGGAGAGGTGAGAGGATCAGAAGCTCAAGGTCGTCTTCACCGACAGAGAAAGTTGATCTTGTTTCAAGTATTTTCTCGGCAACTGTACGAACATTTAATTCTCAAAATTTTGTGAGTTAGGTATCATGTCAAGGCTACCTTATGGATGAGGAAATTCAATCACTGGAATATTCGTGTGATTTATACAGGGTCATTCATTTCCCTAATATTGAAGCCACGAGGCAGAAATTCAGCTATACTCCCCTGGAGCTCCTGTTCCCCATTCCACAATGTACAAGTGCCTTAGTGTGCCTTAGACTGCAAGCCTTCAAATAGCAGACACAGTCTCTCTTGGATTAAAAACAAGTGAATGAAGATTCCAGGGTCATGGCTCAGTCTAGACAAAGTGCCTAATGAGCAAGGTTGAGGGGCTGAGCTTCAGATCCCCAGAACCTGCACAAAAATCTGGGTGTAGTGACACATGCCTGGGCAGACAGAGAGCTGGGTGGATTCCTCAAGCTCCTTGGCTAGTCCAGCTAGCTGAACTGTGGAGCTTCGTGGTTGTAAGCGATTCTGTCTCAAAAATAAAGGTGGAGCATGATGGAGGAAAGACCCAGTGTGGACCGCTGGCTTCCTTGTGCGCATGCACTCATTTGTATATTAGCCAAGGCTCCAAAAAGCAGCTACTATTATTCATATTGAGTATTCACATGAGGAAGCAAGCACAGTAAAGTGGGTGTGAAAGAAATGCACACATAGGCAGGATGAAAATGGAGTTGCTGGGGCCACTTGCTGTTATTGAAGCATGCAAGTTTTCCAGATTGATTAGCCCTGCCAATTGTCTTCTTGGCATTAAAGTTGTTACAAGAAACAAGAAAGGACTTCGTGAGATGGGGGTAGGTAATTATGACTGGCACATAGTAACTGCCTTCTGAATGTTATCTGGTATGTCATTATCACATCCAGAATGATGGAAACACAGAATTGACCATTTTGATTATGGATTTCATTTTCTGCTGCTCTACAGCACACACAGGAAAAACTAGTAGAGTGATTTCTTGTTTCTGGATGTCAGTCCTCGTCACGTAGCTGTGGTCTAACAATAGTCATTTCCTTCACACAGACCCTCCTGCAGGCCGTGCTGGATATTGTGGAGTTGGAAACATTTCAACACAGTCCAAATTATGTACTGCTGTTGCTTTGGGCCTCTCTGGCCAATGCTTCTCCTGTAAGTATACGGGGCTCACTTCCATCTGTTTGATGTTTGTTTGTTCTTTTGCATTATTTTCTTTTTCTCTTGGTCTTCAGTTCTCCACTTACTTTGGGGAACAAAAATATAACAGTAGATTGGGATGTAAGCTAAAAAGCAAAAGTGAATGCTTGATAGGATCTGACTGGTGGCTCAGTGGGTGAAATGCTTGCCACACAAGCTAGAGGACCTGAGTTCTTCAATGCTGGTGGGTGTGGCAGGCTGCCTGAAATCCCACTGCTGGAGAGGTGGAAAATAGGGATCTGTGAGGCAAGCTGACTAGCTGAACTAGCCTGATCAGTGAGCTCTGGTTCAGCAAGAGCCCCTGTCTCAGTGAATAACTCAAAGAGTGATCAAAGAAGGTAACCGACATCAACCCCGGCTTCTACAGGAAGGGGCGTACAAGTGTACACATGCCTGCACAGACTTCTGCAAAAATATACATGCATACACACCAGATGAATGTGCCCATGAGTGAGAGTGCATACACACACACACACACACACACACACACACACACACACACATCTCAAATCCCCCACCACCCAAAAAAAACACCCCAAAACACTAAGGAGGCAAAGCCTAGATCTAAAGAGAATTCTGCCCCCTGACATACTTGCTCTTTGGGGCCCCCTCTGTGCCATTTAAGGGGATCTGACTCCATGTGCTCTGTATCCTACACAGTTGAGCAAATTATAGCCCAGCTTTGAACCAGGGTGAGAGTAAGGCAGCTGATGGTTTCAGCTGCTTGTCTCCAGCCACAGTGGTCATCACTTAAAATCTCTGTGCCTCCATTTCCTTTGCAGGAAGTCTGGGGGAGGTGGGGAGATACTATGAATACAAATGTAAAAACTTCTGACAATGGCCCTGGGAACAATCCCAGGAGCTGTTCATTTTCCTACAGAGTTTCTGTGAGATCCAATAAGATGCTCTTGTCATGTCCAGTGAATGTGAGTGGACTCTCCCTCTCCTCCTGGGTACCAATGCATCTGCGTTTCTTGGCTCTACAAGCTTCTTTGTGAATGGGGCTTATGACATTGAAATTCACTGCACATCTAAAGATAACAGGGACCTTTAAAGCCCATTTACTTTTGTGTAGTTATTTTAGTTGATTAATTAATTTAGTTGTTTTTTTTTTTTTTTGAGGCAGTCTTGCTGTGTAGCCTCAGGCTGCCCTTCAACTTCCAACCTCAATTACTGAGTTATAGAAGTGATGCAGCATATGGGGCAACTGCTTCCAAGTATGAATTTTCTTTCACCAAGTGAACAAAATAATGGGTTGCCTTAGACATCTTTATCCATGTATACCATTGAACTTGGCTCATGGTCGCCTCATTACCTCCTCTTGTCTCCACACCTAATCATTTCCTTCCTTCTTCCCAAGTATTCCCTCGTTGCTTCCATTGTGTGTGTGTGTGTGTGTGTGTGTGTGTGTGTGTGTGTGTGTTCCTTATGTTGGCTGAAGTGGAAGGATGGCTGTCTATGTATCTGTGTTTGATGATGAAAGAGAAACACTCAGCCCATGACTGGTATCAGCTGTGGTCATTTTTTTCCTGTTCTCTAACATCTAGCAATAAGCATTCCACATTTCTCTTTCCTGTTTTTGAAGGCCTAGGTGGCTGGATGATTTCTATGTTCCAATAACTTTACTTCTCTTAATCTGTTGTAAATAACAGATCCCGATAGTCTGGCCTTTCTGACCAAACATGCTCTACTCATGAGAATCTGTATTTCATCAACGCCAGTCAAGTGAAGAGCCCTGTGCCTCCTCTCCTCTGTGTGCTCCCCCAGTCTTCTCTAACTCTTCTCAACCAGCTGATTACACTGCAGCAAAACTGAGGAGACACTTCCCAAACATGCACACAACAGCCACAGTCAGAGCTTAGTTCTCAGGGTCCCTCCAGAAAGGTCCCCTAAAGAAAGCCACACAAAGCGCTATTGACCGGACACAGAGGTCAGTTCTTTGTGATTGGACCTGGCACTGATCTGAAAGGAGGTGTCTGATGATGACTGGAAGTTTCATCTTGCTGAGTCTTCCTTGTTGGCACCTCCAAGGGGTAGTGTGAAGCATGAGCAGAGGCTTGGAAGGGCCTTCTCATCAGATCTGAAGCCAGTTCCCATAGCTGGGTGTCAAAGGGCTAGCTATTCCTTTAACCTCTCCCAGCTGCATCCCTGTCCTCATTTGAACTGCCTCCAAGGATGGTTGGGAGGATTTAACTGGATGTAATGTAAAGTGCTTAACAACATTGATGCTCAATAAATAATACGTGCGCTGTACATAAACAACACACCACTCTCATTGAAATCAATGGCTTCTTCCCGTGGCCATTCATTCTGAATATAGACTGCTATGGGTCCCCGAATGCTTGACCCTTCAATGGCTGGGATGGGCATGGCTCTGCTGTTTTGGTTTTAGGATCACCCATTGCTAAAGAAAACCTAAGAACTGTAAGTGATTGGTGGGCCATTCAGGCCCAGATGGGGTCAGTACTTCTTTTCTTCTCCCTTGAAGTCCATGGGACCTGAGCTTTAGATGGGACCTGAGCTTTAGATGGGATTGTCACCAGCTCACCAGGAGGGTCTGTTGTGGCTAAGGTGTGCTTTGATAGACCATCCCAAGATATTGGTCATACTTCATGAGGTTATTTTGATGGAAAAACTATTAGTTTCCCAGTTCTAAGAAGTTTCTGACTGGCAAATAAACTTTCTAAGACATTTCTCAGCTGTATCGAAGCTGACTTTTGCCATTTTTATCTGCTGCTTATGTGGAGTTGTAAGCAAGCTCAGGGATCATCATTCCACTCAGTTATTGTCAGGGTGGCATTTGTGTGGCCTTGCACAGTGCCCCCCCCCCCAGTTGTATGTATCTCATATATCTAACTCAGTGTGAAGTTTTCTGATCAGAAATTGCTTTATCTATGTTTGTGTTGGCCATGATTGATAGAAGATTATCTGGAATGTTACAGAGATTTTTTTTTTCTTTCTCGTTTCAAAAATTGATCTATGATTGCCATCATTTTGAGCTTTTAGATGAATGTATTTTTTAAGTATGTAAAAAGCCAAGGTAAAAGAATAAATAGCAAGTGATGAGTAGATGATGGATGGACAGATGGATGGATGGATGGATGGATGGATGGATGGATGGATGGATGGATGGATGGATGGATGGATGGATACACAGAAAATCACCATCAAATCAGGGACTCGAAACATCCAGCAGAAATCAACTGGGAAGACATTTTAAGACATCTAGTTCTAGATGCCCATGGAAAGAGTCTTGACCAGAGCAGTGTCCTCCATGGTGAGACTTCCAAGTAAAAGAACAAATAGCAACATAGAGGGATGACCTCATCAAATCAGGTACTCAAAACGTGTATCAGAAAGCAGCTGGGGAAGTTACAGCAGCTGGAGTTCCCCCTTGAGCTTGCTCTCCATGGGTGAGCTTGCCATGGCTATACTTGCAGCTTCTCTTCCCAGTGTGCAACCTTTACATATGGGCTATCTCTACACTATGATACTATCTGTTGGAAATGATCCACCTTCCTGTTGACTTGAGCTATATTGTTGTCTGTCTTTCTTCCCTGTCACAGAGTGTGGAGGTCCATTTCCCACCCAAGGGGAACTCCTGACATTAACACACTAGGGTCTGAAGTAGGGGGGCTAACCCCACTTTCAGTGTCAGATACCCAGTGAGCTTAAACCGCACGTAGCAATTAACTTAAAAAGCGCACTTCCAGCCAGGTGTTGGTGGCGCGTCCCTTTAATCCCAGCACTCGGGAGGCAGAGGCGGGCGGATTTCTGTGAGTTCGATGCCAGCCTGGTCTCCAGAGCGAGTGCCAGGATAGGCTCCAAAGCTACACAGAGAAACCCTGTCTCGAAAAACCAAAAATGAAAAAATAAAAAAGTGCACTTCCAGGAGTCGACCAGCATTCATCACATCTCCTCTTGGCTGTAGTTGAAGGATGCAGCCAGCCTCAGAGCTTCCTTCCTTGTCTCTTCTCTCTTCTGCCTCAGCTCTCCTGCAAGTGGCTTTTTGTAGCTGCCCTGCAGTGTAGTGGCCAGGTGGCTCTCTTTTTTGCACTCTGACCATGAACTTGACCCTTTGGCATAATATAGATTGTTACCTTTTTTTGGGCAGCGCTTTTGAAATCCTTTCTTAAATGTGTCAGTGACCTTAGATCCACATTTGCTTTTTGATTCAATATTGCATAGAAACATTTTATTAACTCTTTAATATATTTTCCTTTTTTTGGGCATATTGAGACAATATCTCAGGCTAGTATTGAACACATGATCTTCTTGCATCAGTTTGCCTAGTGCCATACGCTCAGCCCTTTTCTTATTTTTAAGAATTAATCACTTCCTGTCCTTTGGCTAAGGTGAAGTGTGATATCTGTTCTTATCAGTTTAATACATCCTTTGTATGAGGATAACATTGTAAAAATGGACTTTTGGATCTGGGAGATAGAATGAGAGCTTGCACTGTCCACTCCATGCAGCAATCTGGTATTGCAGCACCTCCGGGAATGGTCACCCCTCTTGGGGGAACTTCTAAAAGAAAGAAGTACTTCCTTTCCCCTAACTATTGTAGCAGGAGGCAAGGTCTCATGTATCATATAGCCCAGGCTGACCTCACACTGCCTATGTCCGGGAGGATGGCTTTGAACTCCTTATCCATTTATACATGCCATTTTCTGGGATCACTGTCCTGTACCTTCACACCAAAAGTACATTGTTTTGTTTGATTTAATTTATTTTATGTATTTTACCTGCACATGTAGTATGTATATACCTGCTGCCTATCTATGGAAGCCATAAGACAGATCCCCCTGGATCTGGAGTTCTGGGTGGTTGTGACCTGCTGCATGGGTGCTGGGAACCGAACACAGGTCCTCTGCAAGAGTAACACGTGCTCTTAACCGCTGAGCTATCTCACTAGCCCTCAAAAATGCTGTCTTAAAGGTAAAATGTAGCAGACTTTAAAAATGAGAAAGCTGATAAGGGAAAAAGGCACTTAGCACCGTGGTGCAGCCATTTGTTATTGAGCTGAATTCTAGCGTTTTCCACAGAAACAAATGGTACCTAATTTTAGTGACTCTCAAAACCACAGTCAAACACCCAGGACTTTGAGCTCTTGTGTTACTGAAGATCTGTGATCATCACTGGAATCCTTTCCCCAGTGTAAACTCTGACTTCCAATATGATGAATTGAGTATGGAGTGATTATTTATCAAATCCAATAGCTCAGCACTTCCATTGAAAGCTCATGGGAGGAAGAACCCGAGGAAGGAGACAATAGAGAGCTCTCTGAGCAGTGTGTGAAGGTAAGTTAGATAACCTCCAGGCTACATCCTTACGGATCTGGACGCTGCTCTAGAATGTGTGCACCGCAGGGGCCTCGGTCCTGGTCCTCTCATTTCTCTCTGTCTGTATCAAAGCTGTACATCCTTGGTTTCCACCTCAGTGCACCCGGGAGAAAGCCACAACCTTTCAACACTTCCTTCAGTAGTGCTCTTCCTCTTTTGACCACACGGGGGAGGATTGGGATCGTTTCAAGGCACACCCTGTTCACCACAGCAATAAAGAGACAAAAGACTTAAGTTATATAAAGTGTTACCTGGATGACCTCAGAATTGATCTCAATATATATATATATTTTTGCCACTTGCAGCTATTTTATTTATATTTTTCCTTTTGAGAACTCCATACATCGGTACTGTATTTACATCATTCCCACTGTAAGGATTCAGGAATTGTGCAGGCCTGCCTCTGTCACCTGGCAGAATGCACTCAGGCAGTACCCTGGTCAGCCCAGGGTTCCATGGTTACTAGTCTGCATGCAAAGGACCCCTTGAAAAGATAGACGTCTGCCCACTTACGCTCTTTTCCCTGCTCCTCTCCACCCCATTTCCGGTCTTCCCGCTCTCTTTTCCAGCTCTCTTTCCTTCCCTCTCCTCTCTTCCCAGAGGTTCCCGTGGGGCAGACAGGACTTTTCCTGTCTCCGTCTTCTCTTTTGCCCTCTTTGTGTCTCTTTCCCTCCTTTCCCTCCCCTTTCTAATAAAACTTCTCACTTTTATAAGTCTGCCTGCATGTTTGTCCCCGCCTAGGTCACCCTCCGGCCATGGAATCCACCATGGTCCCCCACACAAGGTCCCCTCATGCTTTACACCCCTCCCCTGCCCCCAACACCCCCTGTGCTGGCTTCCACTCCCTCTCAAGTTCACGATCTCTTCTTTAATACAATAGATGTTTATAGGAAAACAGTGAATGGGAGACCCACGCTTTCCAGGATCTTAAACATTCCTGTATTGCCTAACCTTAGAAACAAAAACTTCCTCCTCAGTAGGAAACTCATTTTTAAGATGCACATTTTTTTTTTCAAGACAGGGTTTCTCTGTGGCTTTTAGAGGCTGTCCTGGAACTAGCTCTTGTAGACCAGGCTGGTCTCGAACTCACAGGGATCCCCCTGCCTCTGCCTCCCTAGTGCTGGGACTAAAGGCGTGCGCCACCAACGCCCGGCTAAGATGCACATTTTCATCTTAAACATCTTATATAGGGGAGATATGAAATACTCAAACTAATTTATTGTGATCAATATTAGGAATGATAAAAAGTCAATCTCCAAAATATGTTAGCTCTTGAATAAAAATGCAAACATGAAGACTGTTATGGGTTCAGGTGTTAAGGAAAAGGAGGCATTTCCCACAAGTTCAGAGCTGGCTGCTTGAGTGACCCAGGGTAGAAGCAGGATTCTACACATCGAAAAGATGGATGTTGTTTACTTGGTAGGAGAATTTATCATTGATTTCAAATTCCAACAGAGATCTTGGCTGTCCAAACTATATTGGAAGCAGCTGCATTCAGCTTGGTTTTAAAACCCTAGGCTGTGGTTTGAAGCTCCTATGAATAGTAAGTAGGAAATCGTTTATATGTTACCTTGAGTTACTATTGAAAATTACATTATTAGATACAAAATAATCCTGATAGGCCAAAAGAGAAAATTTACAGATGTACTTGGATATAAAATGGCTCTTATTTTTTCTTGTGTCAAACTCTTGTACTTTTGTTTGTTTTACTTTCATTTTAGTTTTGGGGGAGTGCCGGGTATTGACCCCAAGACTTGTTCGTTCATACCATGCAAGTGTCCTACCATCGAGCCTCAGCCCCAGCTCCTCCTAAATTTACTTAATAAGATTTAAGAATGGTTTTCTGAATTTATTTAAAATTAATATGTTTTATTTGCAAGAAGAAAATTTTCTGGTTCATTCTCATCCTCTCTCTTGCTCTCAACATAGTCTTGCTGTGTAGGCCTGGCTGCTGTAAAATTCATGTATAAACCAAGTTTCCCTTGAACTCATAGCAATCCTGCCTCTACTTCCCAGGTGCTGAGATTATAGCTGTGTGCCCCGTTCTCTGCTGCTTCATTTGTATTTTAGGAAATTAAATCATGACAATATTTTCATGTTGTGTTATCAAGTATTCCGACTTGTTCTGAATATTTAGTGAATGGCTCTATGATGTTTTATGTTTCTTGTTAGTAAGCACAATTCCACCTTTCTTAATTCAGCAAATAGTCTACTCTATATAAATACTACAGCGAAACTACAGCAACAGAATCAGTGTATAGATTTGACATCACTTATTTGCAAAATCTAGCTATTTTGAAAGGTGATACTTAGTAGCATGTGTTTAAAATTTTTTCCTTTATTTTTATTTTATGTGTGTGGGTGTTTTACCTCCATACACCTCAGTGCCACATGTATGCAGTGCCCACAGAGGCAGAAGGTGGCGCCAGATCATCCAAAACTGGAATTACAGATGGTTGTGAGCTATGATACAGGTTCTTGGAACACAACCTGTATCCTTTGGAAGGGCCGGAAGAGCTCTTGAATGTTAAGCCATCTCTCCAGGCTTTTGAGGTTGCCTGAAACACTGCCCTTGCTTCTTTCAGTTGTCTACAGTTAACACTAAATTTGCTTTCATTTACCTTGGGAGAAGGGTTCATGTTTTATGTGTTCCTCTTTTCCAGATTGCATTCTGGACGCTTGCATTTGTCCTGTCCCATCCTGACATCCACAAGACCGTTTTAGAAGGCATATCATCTGTGTTTGGCACTGCAGGTACTGAATCAGTTTATATAATTAAGGACACATTTAGTTTATGTGGTTTGGATCTTGAATGTCTACCATGTTTTAAAGTCAGGGACCAGGGCTCGGGAGGTGGCTCAGTTGGTAAAGCTATTCAAGCATGAGGACCTGGGTTCAATCCCCAGTACCTACATTAAGGAAAGATAGAAAAAAAAGACTGGGCATGGTGACACACACTTATAATCCCAGTGCGTAATATATAAAATTATGGGCTGTGATGGGAAAAATTAAAAATAATTTGATTTTCATTGTATAAAATACTGTGTGAGTTGAAAGTTGTCCCTCCTTTGTCTCCTCCATAATGGCTGAAAATATCATTTTGAAAATATTTTGTTTGGAGTTCTTTTTTTCAAACTCAAGCACAGTTGACTAGCATGGGTACCTAAGCAAAGCCCTGCCAGCTCTGAAGCAGAACCCAGCAGTACCAGGCTTTATCTTGCTGAGATCTGAGCATTAGTACCATTGAGAACTAGTGATGCAAGCCCAGGTTAGGAATTTGGAGGTAATATGGAGAGCTCAAGTGACGCAGAGGCCACAACTGGAGGGTGACATTAATCTGGGTGTCTTTGGGGTTTATGTTAAAGAGACAAAAACCCCTTCTCTCCTGTAGCTTCGTTTGCTTTCAGAACCCGAGAAGACCTTCCAGAAACCAAAAACATTTCAGAAACAGAACAGCATTCCTTCCAACAGTGTTTCATGGGAATAGTTGTACTGTATCGATTTCCACTGTAAGTCATGTCTGTAGAATAGAAAACAACTTGTAAAAATAGGAAACTTAAAAAGAAAATCAAGTATATATAGAGGTAGCTCAGAGCTCTCTGAACAAATAAAATATCTCCAGATTATGCATAAGCAGTAGCTATAGCTCAGAAATTTAGATGTGGGAGGAGGCCCCAAGGCCATGAATCTTAGAGATTGCTATTGGGGAAGGTATCCATGAGTCTATACAAAGGAACATGTCATCGAAGGAGTATTAATGCATGCTGTATTACCACATATTCTCCAGAAAAATGGACCAATAAGAGACGGTTGGAGAGATGGGTAGACCATAGGTTATTAGGTTCAGAATTAGATAGATAGTAAATGGGCAGATAGCTCTAGAAATATTTATTTTTAAAGCCTAGTTTTACTTTGGATTTATATGGATATTCATGTATCTGCATGTGGCTGTCAGCATGTGAGTGCAGATGCCCACAGAAGATGAGTCACATCCCCTGTGTAGTAACAGGCTCTTGTGAGCCATCTGATGTGGGTGCTGGGAACCGAACTTGGGTCCTATGCAAGAGCAGCAGGGCTAACTCTTAACCACAGAGCCCAGAAGGAGCTTTGTTAGAAGTTGGTTGATGTGATTACCGATCCTAATATGACAGTGTTAGTCGTACGATCTCACTGAAGTCTGTTCAGTGAGTTCAGCGGTTTCTCCAGAACTGGGCGTGGATTCCTTTATCCCGAGACGCCATGTGCCTCCTGTTGTTGGCCAAGGGCATCTGTGTGCAGGTCAGGTACTTCAGCATTGCGCCAGCCGTTGAGAACTGTCTTAGCTCCTGCCTTCTCTGCTTGTGCAGAGCCTCATGGCCAGCCACAGCAGGGCTGGCGTGTTTTCAGGGCTCTCTGGGGGGTGAGTACAGAGCTCTACACAAATGAATGACATGCGGTTTGTGTAGGAATACAGGCTTTCAGTTTCGTCTCTGCAGTGTACCTGCTGTTTGTCCCGTCTACTGTCTGCTGCCTCTGGTGGCTGCAAAGGTGAACAAATAACCTTTAAAGTTTTTTCCCCCCAGAACCCCTCAGGAAAAAGCTCCCTGCCTTTCTGCTTCATAACTTTAGAAGACATAAACAACAATTTCATTCTTCTGGGAGAAAAAAAAAAACAACGATCAGTTTAGCGCATAAATAAATTAAGACTAATAGCAGCTGTCAAATGCTATATACAAAAGAAAACAGAACTGAGTGTAGAGAATTACCAGTATCAGGAGTGGAAACATGTGTTGAGTAGGTGAATCAGGCTTGGCCTTGTTGGCAAGATGAATTTGAGCAAGGATTTGAAGTAGTTTGGGGTTAGACAGATGGAACTGTAGAGGAAGGGGCTGCAGATGTGATTGCACTGTGTGCCCACGGGATCTTCAGTTCTGTTACAACATCCTGTCAGTCATTCCACAGCAGGATGTATAAGAAATGGATTCATCATATGGAGAGAGGAACTCCAGGGTTCCATCTTTCCTGAGGCCTTCCCCTTCCCCTTGACAGGCAGATGCCCTGCCCCTCCTTGTTTTTTGTTTTTGTTTCTTTGTTTAACCACAAGAACTTGCCTAGTTCATGGCTCTAACTGTCCATTTTACTAGGCCACCTGCTCCCACGTCATTTCTAGAACTTTCTAATAAAAAGAGTGTACTGTCAGTTGATCACAGCAGGCACTCTGGGGAGATGCATCCTGTCTATCTTTTCCCTTTTCTGCCACAAAGGCCATTCCTGTTCCCTTTTCTACTGCGATGTCATTCCTTTCCCAGAACCTGGCCTCCCTGCTTCTTTCTCCAGTTCCTGGCTCTGATCCATGCCCCCTCCCCAGCCCCCTTGTTGTCAGCAGGGTTTTCCAGGGTCATCAGCAGGAGTTCACTGCTGATTTTTGTTTGTTTGTTCTGTTCTTAATAAATTTGTTAAAATGTCGTGGGATTTCCAGGAGGGCTGGATATGCTGTGCCTGTAGGGCAGAGCCAGAAACTGCTCCCAACCAGGCCACGGATTGTCTGGCAAGCCCAATATGCCCACTAATGCTAGGCACACTGTGACACTGGCAGGGGACACTAAATGACATTGTGTCCCTGGGAACTTCAGCCTGTGAAATCTGCAATTGGTGCCAGGAAAATCACAAACTCGGTCTTCAGTTCTTCATATCACTAGCTTTCCCCGCCCCCTTTCCTACTTCTTTTTATTTTATGTTATTTTTGTATGCATGTGTAGGTATGTGTCTGTGTTTGTGTATTCACAGGTGTGTGTGTGTGTGTGTGTGTGTTTGTATGTGTGTGTGTGTGTTTGTGTGTGTGTGTGTGTGTGTGTGTGTGTGTGTGTGTGTGTGTGTGTGTGTGTGTGTGCACTTACACATGCCTGAGGAGGCCAGAAGAGAGCATTGTATCTGCTAGAGCTGAAGTTACAGCTCCAGACTGGTTCTGGGTCCCTTCTGCAAGAGCAGCCAGTGCTCTTCACTGCTAAGTCAGCTCTCCAGTCCTGTTATCGCTAACTCCTAATTCAAGCTATGAGACTGTTTGATCTGATCTGAAGTCTCTCATCATGGTTCTGTCTGAACTTCCAGGGAGACAAGAAAAGCAAGAACCCTGAGGGTTCTACTCTGGGCTGCTCAGGCAATCTTCTGCTGAAGCATAGGCAGTGATGATGTATGTAAATTACTTACATATGTTATGCATATATATGAGTATAAGAAATGTGCTTATATCATATTTTTATGAAAATAAATCTGTGTGTGAATGTGGTGTATATGTGACATATCCGAGCATGAGCACATATGTGTGTACACAAGGGGATGAACAAAGAGCACATGAAGAGGCCAGTGGAGGTGTCAGGAGTTCTCTGTCTATCTCCATCTATTCATTGAGGCCCAGTTTCTCCCTGCACTTGGAGCTTGTGTTTTTTTCAACTAGCCTGGAAGCCTGCAGTTCTCAAGGATCCTTCTGTCTCCACCCACTTTGGTGTTAGTGTTCACTGGCCTCTTGGCTTACTATGTGGATCATAGAACCCAAACTCCAATCCTTATGCTTGCACAGTAAGCTGTCTTAACCCCACCAACCCATCTCTCCAGGCCACAACTGGCAATTTTAAACAGTGCAATGATTTCCTGACATCGCTGTGTGATAGACAAAAGATGTATGTCCATTTCCTTTAATTTTTTTTAATTAAAAGAATCTACAGATAGTTCAATTAGACTTTGACTCTAAGAAGAGTTTTCCCAAAATATCTTTCTCCTATGAAATTTCATCTATTCTCAAGATGGTATTGCTGTGTCCACAGAACTGAAGAGAAAATTAAATTACTCGCCTCTTTCTTAAATTGCATATTAATTATTAAATTATGTATTAGCCATTACTTATTTTTTTAAACACATATATTTTTATTGTTTTTCAGGCGAGGTTTTCTGTTGTCCCAGCCTAACCTTGAACTCACAGATCAGTCCAGGCTTACCTCAGATTTGCAGGAATCCTTCCAAGTGCTGACTTTTGATTTGTTTAAATAGCACTGCACTCACCACCACTGAGGTTAACTTTCTTCTTGGTGAAAAGACAGAAGTCTATGTTTAGATGCTTCTTGAAACATCTATTCATTTCACTTTGCTTTGTTTTCTCAAAATAGCATGAAGTAGCACTGGACCACAAACTCCCAGTTAATTCAGCATGTGCACTCCTGTTCATTGGCAGACAACCTAAAATAATCTGTGCTTTTAATGTTTGGGTTCTGTGTCCACTGTGTTACAGGCAATTTTCTTTCCTCATTGTGGGGTTCCTTGTTGGGAATTTACCCATCAGCGGTGCTTGATCAGTCTTAAAAACAAGCAGACAGCAGGCAGATAAAAGTCACTCATTTTTGTTTTTTTTTTCTATATACTTGTTATGTTTTATTTTAGCAGCATTTTTATTTATTTATTTTCCATAGCACTTTTTTTTCTGCCCATAATCTTATTATGCTTTATTTTAAGATGCAATTTACTTATTGTCTAATTCTGAGATTATAATTTAATTACAAAATTTCCCCTTCCTTACCTCTCACCTTACCCTGCTCACTCTCCCTCAAATCCCCAACCTCTTTTTTCGTCAATTGCTATGGCATGTATTTGCAGATACGTATGTATTGCCAAGAATGATCTGTTGAGTCAACTTTTTTCCCTCTGTTGATTTACAAGTAACTGGATTCACCTAGATAGGATGGATTCTTCAAAGTATAAATCATAAAATGTGCAAGCAAAAATGT